CTAGCAGCCTCCTAAACAATCCTTGGCACGGTTTGGGGTGAGCACAGCCCAAACCCTGTTCCAAACAGGCAGTTTGAATGTGGGGCCACCCTGCTTGAGCGAGAGAAAGCTTAAGGGTGTGAACGTGGACGGTACCTGCCAGTTGGCATCAGGGCCAAGGGAATGCCAACTATTTAGTTGCTGTATTTCACTGGTCAGGTAAGAAATTTCATAGACTCTTCAGGAACCAGGGCCAGGAGTACCTCTGAGAGCTCATCTAGTCCACAGCCTTTCCTTCATGTGAATCTAGTATACAGTCCTGACTGATGTTTCTTTGGTCTGTCCTCAGCCATCTCCAATCGATGAAGACCAAAAATTCCTAGCCAGTCTGGCCCCTCCTGCTTTGTTTACTTTATCCTTAAAATGTTTTTCTCTGCCTCTAATCAGAATGTTTTTTATTGCTCTGATTTAATTCCAAGATTTCCTGTCCTATCCACTGTGGACATAGAGTCCAGGTTATTCGATTTCTTCTCCCACAGCCTTTTACATAATCGGAGATGTTCCCTCATCGCCTGTTGTCTTTCTTTAGTGGACTTTTTCTCCTGTGTTTTAGTGTGTTTGTTTATTCTCCCTTTCTAAATAGCCCTAAAAAATCCAAACTGAAACTAATCTGTTCTGACTTGCTGGTTATATACTGCTGGAACGTTTCTTGTAACATCTGTTCAGAGAAATGCAGGGTTGAGGCTATGTTCCATAGATCCAATTGAAAGGAACAGGCATGTATCGTCAGCTGTACTTCATGCATCATTTAATAGCAGAGTAAGTGACGTGGGGCATTTAACAGTAGATGATGTTGCCTGTTATTCTCAGGCAGCTTTGTAGTTCTCAGTCCCTTTCAAAAAGAGTAAGGGGAAAAGGTTAACCTCACCTTGCTTGTTTGAAAATCAGTCCTAAAGATGTGCTTGTGTCCTGGGTACCTGGGGTGGTATGCTCTAAGAAGGAAGTCAAAATTAATCCAGTAGAAAACTGTCATGCCAATGACTGTATTTAGAAAATGCAGTGCCAGGTACGCAGAGCCTTTAATATAGAATTATAGTTTCAAAGCCTTTCACAATGTCTCAGCTAACCAGGATTGAACCTGAACAGGTCATTAGTACAACAGGCAAATATTGTTCCTGGAAGACCTCATCTCCACAGCCCCTTGCCCCTGCCCCAGAAGGAATTGCATCTTCCCTTCGGGAAGTAGCAACAGTAGAGACCTAGTAGGAGCTGAAACCCTACTAGGGTGCTCCAAGAAATGTGCTCCAAGAGGGGCTCACTCCATGTTTTTCCCAAGGATGAAAGTGAGGCTGGCAGGCCTATATTTTTCAGATTGCCCTTTTGGCCTTTTTCAAAGACGGGTGGAACATTTGCCTTTCTCCAGTCATGGGTAATCTTCCCTGATCTCCATGACCTTTCAAAGATGATAGAGAGTGGCCTTGCGAGGACATGGCAGGCTCCCTCAGCACCCATGTATTCAGCTCGTCTGGTCCCATGGGCTTGTTCACAAATAGGCAAGGAGGTTTAAAGATTGTGAGAGACACAAAGAAGTTAAGGATCAAACTCATTTTTGTGTGTGGTCTCAAAAAAAGCTCTCTTCCTCAGTTTTTGCTAAGGCCTTATTAGACTGACTTGAGGTCAGAAGAGAGTATGTTCATGGAGCCCCCAGTTGGACTGTAAACTGATTACAGTAAAAGCCTTTGAATGTTGCTGCAACATGAAGGGTTTTTATCTGTTTTTCGTTAACATCCATGGAGTCCTTTTACCCCCTTACCCACGTGATAATTCATAGGAATTGCTATGGATAGCAGGATATATTGAGATGGAGAAGTAGATTCAACATTTAGTCAGAACTGGAGCAGCTACGGTAAGGAAGAGAAGGAAGGGGAAGGGAGCCAGGCAGAAAAGAGAGTAAGAGAGGTATATGGGGAACAAAGCTGGCACTGACTGGCTAAATGAAGGGCCTGAAAGGGTTGGAGCAAGGAATTAATTAGTGCAAGTCATTAATCAAAACCAGCATTCACTTAGTTTGTGACTTAATTATGTATTGTTGAGTTTCTCTTTTGAGGCATGGGACTTGAGCACCTCTCCATGAGCGAGTGAATACCTGTTACTGCACACAAACCTAAAGAGAGAAGACCTGTTCATGCTCTTACTTCATCTCACTCTAGAAGATGGGAGAAAGGAAAGCAGGGAGAATCTAGGGAAAAAGTACTTCCCACCAGCAGAAAAAAAATACAGCTATACAAAAGAGAATGTGGGTGGCACTGATTTGTAAGGAGAGATCACAATGGTGAAATCTGTCTGGTTTGGCTGAGCAGTGACTTTGGAGGAGGACATGAAAATATGCCTCTGAAAGGAAGTTTTAACAAAATCTTGCTAGCCTGGGTAATGACAGGAAATAAGATGGGACTGAGAAATAGATTCAAACCATAAACAAAATGGTTGTCCATCTCTTTGTTTTGTGATGGTCTGATAGCTACAAAGGGCTCTTCTGCTTTTACGGCCTGTTGGAAAATAAGTACTAGAAGAATAAAGGTATGTAAGTGTCATGGAACTGCTTGTCCCAGAGCTGCTGGGATTAGGGTATGCGTGTTCAAGAATCTTTGTTTCGGGCCAAACAGATGTCTCATGTAATATTTCTTTGTACCTCCCTGTGTTTAAACGTTTCAATTTCCTGTGCAGCTTGGGAAGGAAAGCAGTCAGATGGACAGTCAAGCAGCCCTCAGAACTCCACCTCCAGTTCTTCTGCCTCTGTTAAGCTTGGTAACTCCTTGCCAGGGTTGGGGAAGAAACCCTTCCAGAGATCTGACAGGCTCCATGCAAGTAAGATATTTATTTTTCTGCTTACAGAGATTTAGTTGCTCTGATGACAGAACAAAAGCCCAAATAGGAAAACGGAGTAAAACGTGTAATTTAATTACATTACTAAAGTGATTTCTGGAAAATCCTGGGAGGTACTCCTGTTCTTCTGCATGAATTAGGAAAGATAATTCACACCTTACATATGCAAATAAGCCTTTGCTCATTTCTTGTCAGCAGGGCTTTTTGTTTATGAATTTGCAGCTTATGGCTTGAGAAGTAAAAAAGGACTTGCATTATTCAGCAGGCTTTTTAATGTACTTAAGGTACTTTGGTAACATAAACAGAAATCTTTCCCAGACCTTTATACTTCAAGCCCCACTGCTACTTGACTTCCTCCCATTCACTGAAATTAGATGTTTCTCAGCTCTCCGGACCCTTTCTGGTTTCTTTTACATATACCAATGATGGAATTGACCTCGTTGAACTTGAGGCTATGCTGAGGTCTCCATCTGTGCTTTTCACCCCACGGCCTTGGTCCTAGTTCTGTTGTCTTCATGACACATATCACTATCACAATTTGCCTGATTTGTCAACTTTTTTGTCTCATTCTCAGGACTAAATTCCCCCTCTCTCACCCCTACCTCAAGGCTCAGACACATTAGCAGAGCCATGTGGGGAAAAGTTACCTTTGCTATTTGTATCCTGAGTATAAAGAACAGATTTGCAATCCATTGAGCTAGCACTTCCCAGGCTCTAAAGTTCATGTGAATAAAATACTGGGAATAAATATAAGGCAGAGAGAGGAATGCTGAGGTGCCACTCCGGGCACTTGCATCTGCCAGCCTTCCCCAAGGTGGGCGCAGTGCAGCTAGCTGCAGACACCTACTCTACAGTCTAGGTTCAGCTCCCGCTGTAATTAGAAAATTCTGTAGCTTAAATAGACAGTAAATCTGCAGAGCCATTTTCTGAATGACTTGTAAGAGAGCAAGCCATCTTTCCTTGATTAAATAAGCCTCCAGGGAAGTTATTCTATCAGGTCCTGCTACCTTAAAAATAATCACTGTCATCCCTGCAGTCAGGTGGAGCAGGGTCTGTCTTAATATTAGCCATTTTTCTAATAACGCAGTTTTAATTGAAGCTTCATAATACATGGCTTTTTACCTGTAATAGGCAATGGATGAATCCAAAGGAAACGGTGTACACAGTACAAATGCATTATCCATTATTTTTTTCTGAAGTTGCAGCACATATATGTAGCTGGCTGTAACGTGAGGGTTAATGCTGGAATTGGTGGTTTTCAAACACAGAAGAGGAAAGAAGAGAACAGTTGCTCATTTTTACTGCTTCATCTAGCGTTGTGGTTTCTAGACAAGCACAAGGGGCTGCTGAATTTTTCTGAAATGTTTTTGCTGAGAACAAAGTAGGAATGTCCAACAAGAAATCCAGAGGAACAGACTGACCTTAACTAGAGGCTTAAAATAGAAAATTAATTTGGCTAAAAACATTTCTAAAAAAACCTCCTGAAAAAGACTCCTTGCCAGGCTCCAATGAGATAGCCAGGATTCCCAGTAAAGTTAGGTGAACTGACACAGGGTACAATATATTAGGTATTGAATTTCCTCTGCCAGAAAAGACCTTCTACGTTTTTTTCTTAAGCATATGTGCAAAGGTAAAGCCTTGACGTATGTCAAGGTTTGAAATGAGTTACTAAAGTGGCATTGTGAATGTCTGAGATACAGCAAACTCTGTAAAGGAGCCTTTAATCTTCTCTTAGGTAAGAAGTTACCTAGGTCTCTGTGGTTCTTTGCAGGGCAGCTGAAGAGAACAAAGTGTGCTGAAATTGATGTGGAAACCCCGGACTCCATCCTCGTGAACACAAACCTGCGGGCACTGATCAACAAGCATACGTTCTCTGTTTTACCTTCAGAATGCCAGCAGCGCCTGCTGCTGCTGCTCCCCGAGGTGGACAGGCAGGTACGTCGTGTTTTCCATTGGAGAGAGGAGCTACGCTCTTAGGTGTCAGCCCCATCTCCAGGAATAACTGGCTAGACATTCAAATACTGCATTAATGTCTAATGGGATAGACTTTATCTTCTCTGTACAGTGTGGAAAAAAATCAGAAAATTCTTCCGTGATTTATTTGGGTATTTGTTGCTGTCTGAAAAAAAGAATTCAGATTGGTTAGACCAGTGGCTTAATTCCATTCAATCAACTCCATATTCCCAGTTACAGTGAGAACAATGTTTCTGTTGTGTTGGACTTGATAAGGGTCAAGAGGGATCGGAACGGAGTGATTTCAGTATCTTCATCCCTTTCTCTCCCCAAACCCCTCCCAAACTCTGCAATACAGGAATAACCCTACAGCCTTTTATTACAGGTACCTTCCCACATCTTACCTAAACAGCTACTGTAATTTAGTTTCATCCTCTTCTGTTTTTCATTACTTACCTTACTGCTGTCAAATACTGAATTTGGTAACGTGAAAACTGAATGATTTTTCTGTCCAGACTGCAGAGTACACTGCTCCAAAGAGCTTGTGTCCTAACCTGAAATGCATTTTAGCCTGAAGGTATCAAGCATGCAACCTAAGTCTGCTTTGGATGCAGTTTGCTTTGTGGATTATCTGTTTAAGTCCTTGTTGTGTGCTAAAAGAGGATTTAAAAAAATAGAAAAGTTTTCAGTGAGGAGGAATGGGTTCCTTTGTTCTGGGAGTGGCACAGAAGAATCTGTGAAGGTTTTCACTGAACTCTTCATTTAACCAGTTAGAGATAACTGGAACAATTAACATTAATGACAAAGGGGCAGGAACTCAGCCTTTGGTACTGAAAGAACAGCTGAGGGACTCTACTGATAAGAGTTATTTTCAAGTCAGCTGGATCCGAATTCCATCCTAAGGGATACACAAAAGAACTGGCTGAAGCAAGCTCTACGCTATAGCAGTTTTCTTTGACAGCTTGTGGAAGACGATCCTGAGAGATGAGAAAAAAACAAATGTTGCCTTACATGTAAAAGGAAAGAAAAATAGTGAGTTCAGAAAGTATGTTCAATCTGTTTGTTTATATACCAGAATATTTGTAGATAAAACAATCTATTTGTAAAATAATTTTAAAAGAAATAAACAATATCTAACGTGGATTTTTTTTTTAATTGTATCATATCCATCTAATTGTTTAATCAGTATGTTAATCAGTAGGCCTTGGGGAGAAGATAGAACAGTAAATGTCATGTTTTGATTTTTGTAAGGCTTTTGACACTGCTTCACATAATCAAGCTAGGGAAACATGGCCTAGGTGAAGCTACTAGAAGGTGAACGCAAAGGAGCTTTGAAAACCCATCCAGAGTAGTTATTAATGATTCACTGTCAAAACTGAACAGTGCAATAAGTGGGGTTCCTCAAAGGTCTGTCCTGAGAATGAAGGATGTTTTAATAAAAGCTGAGGTAGAGAGTAGAGCGAGCACATGCTTGTTATACTTGCCAGTGATGGAAGCTGAGAGGGCGGGAAAGAACTGTGGATAACATGACTGAATTCAAAATGATCTTGATAGGTTGGTTACGGAGTAGGTTTTTCCAGACAGGAGTTTGGGAGCCCAGTAGATAACAAGCTGGATATAAGCAAACTGTGGTGGTGGTCTGTGAGCATCATAGTAGGATGTACGAATACAAGCACACACTGTAAAACACAGGAAGCTAGCTTCCCGTTGTATTTAACATTGGTAAAGCATCAGCTGAAGTACTTTATCAGTACTGTCCTCTAAAAAAGATGTGTATCAATTGGAAAGAATGTAGAGGAAAGCAACGAGAATGGTCCAATATCTGTAAGTCATAACAATACAGGAAGATGGGGAAAGCCTGGAGATGTTTAGCTGAAAGAGAAGACAATCAAGGAGAACTTGTCTTCTGGGGTGGTAAAGGCCACTGCAAAAAGAAAGGAAATAATCTGATCTTTTTGCTCATAGCAGATAGGACAGGATGTAATGGATTTAAAATGCAGCCATTAAAAATCAGATTAGAAACTAAAGGAAATGTTTTGAATCCGAACTGACTGGATCTTGTTTCTGCTCAAATGTAGGCCCTCTCTCATTGGAGGTAGTTACAAACACATTAGACAAATATATGCCAGATACCATATGTGAGTGATACTGCTTTGGGAAATGGAGTGGACTGGATGAGCTCTCAGGGTTCAGTCCAGCTTTTTTTTCTATGATTCTGAGATGAGTGAGAAGACTGTAAAAGGGGAGACTACTGTAAAGTGGACAGAAAAAGACCATGATTTAATAGGTCCATAGGTATGTGGAAGAAGTACGCAGAAACAAAGTGTTATTTTATATGTATGTTATTGTAGTTCCTAAAGACCAGAGACTTTAGTCCTCCAAACCTCAAAACAGAAGTTTTGGTAGGTGTGTGGGTTGGAATGGGCCCAAATAATTAAACTGAATCTGTGTTGGTGAAGTGATAACGAAGAAAAGAAGAGCAAATGTTTATTTCTTGAGCTTCTATAGTGACCTGGTATATCCACACACATCCTCAAGTAGCTCAGCTCTCAGCGACATGCCACAACGTATGTAAGTCGGGTAGTGGTACCAGGTTGGTGCAGTGAGGATTTTCCAGTGAATGATGTAGCCTGCAGCTTTGATCTCTGTCATGAGTGAACATTAGAAAAGGCCAGGCTGTATAAGAGACAGTAAGAGACACAGAAGGTCGAAGGAGCAGCACAGAGATGTCAAGTTTGAGATCTGTACATTTGGAAATTAAGCTAGAGTCTATAGATAGAACTGAGTCTTTTATCACTGTACGACTTCAAGTCATGTTTGATCAATGATATGATAAGCAAACAAATGTTTTTAAAGGAGACCAGGATGGAATTTCTATATTCTGCAGTGTACTTGCTTTTGTTTACTGTAGTGTTTTCCTTTAGTACAATAAATAATACAAAGAACTACTCTCATCCTTTTGTTCTCCATCAAAAAGCCAGACTAACTCATCTCTTCAGGTGAAGAGCACTGACCACATTTTAGCTTGGATCCTGCCTTGCTAAAATAAGTCTTTGGGGAGCAAAAGAAGGATACCTCTTTCCTGTTCACATGTTGCCTCTTCAGCATTCCTACCCATACTGGCCTGGAAGCTTCAGAATAAAATGGAATTCTAAACTGTGCTTTCACTTAACTGTATTGGGTGCCTACAGATTTAGATGCCTTAAGGTATGTGCCTAGAGCCATTTGAAATGTCCTTTGGTATCAAGTCTGGCTTCAAGATAATCACTCCATAAAAAATCTTCTCTATGTCCTATATCAGATCTATGAGTTCTTGAAGATACTTTACTTTGTGATGTCTAAATTAGTACTACAGGCCTATGTTTACACACCTTAGTCACTCCCCAGGAGTCTACATCTTAGCTAGTTTCTCTAGGCTTCTTTTCTAGTAAGAGGAAATCTAGCTCCTATATTCAATAGCATGTGACCAAATATCGGTGTCTAGTTCAGGATGAGATAACTGAGCCCTGACCTCCATTTGCTTCGTTTACTAGATCACTGTGAGCTGTTAAGGGAGCCTAGTTTAGATGTAGACACTTACAGTGCAGACATTGAGGTTTAGTAAAATTATATCCATCCTAGAAGTTGTGCTGCTCTTTGACTCTTGCAGCATGTTAAGAATGCATGTGGGTCTGGCAGCTCTGCACCATGGTCTGCTTTACAGAGGACACTGCTAAACAGATACTGTTCTTTTGGAGTTTGGAGGAGTTGTAACATTTTATATTGTCTCATAAATTCTAATCTTCAATCAGTGTTCATCAGGGACTTGTTAGGCCTAAGCTGATCCAATAAGTATTCAAAGGAATTGTTTTATAAGTCCTGTGGCCTTTGTAATAATTAGGTATGTAGCAAAATATGAATTGATGGAGTTTGCAGCTGGAGTTTACTGGCAAGAAGCTCAAGAGCAGACAGCAAGACATTTCTTTCTTGGCTTCTAAGTTTAATTGTCCTTGAATTAAATTAGAATTTGACTGAGAACAAATTTTGACTAGCTAAACAATACTGCTTGGCTCCTGAAATGACAAGTTTATATTTCAAGGTAGTAAAATTCACTGTAGAGCAGCCCACCACATCAGATGGTGATGTGTTCCTTAAGGAATGTCAAAGCCTTTGCTGTAGTAAACAGAAGAGGTGAAAGCGTAGGATATGCCAAATGCAAAAGGTTGCATATCTGTTCTGTTTTGCTTGGCAGTGACTCAGTCTGAGCTCTTAGAGATGATGCTTCTGTAGAACAGAAAGACAGATACTGCTGTGGGCACTCTGTGAGACCGGACCCAGCGAGCCCTGCAGTAGTTGCCTCTCTTCCAATGTAAGGTACTGGCAACACCAAATGTGTAGGAAAGGATAGTCTTACGAATTCTGTTGCCTATAGTTGATCAATATAGATTTGGACTAGAAAATAAATCTCTACTTTTATAAATCCCTACAATGGCTACACAGCAGCTCCTCACTTAAAATCTCTTAACTCAGTCTTCCCTGTACAAGCGTCTGTTATGTCACTTCCATTGTTTTAAATGCACACAAATGCTGCCTCAGTAAAAGCAGTGTTTCTCTTCACCAATTCCTGCATTGTGGAAAGTTGCTGCACAGATCTCCCAGCATAATCAGATATAGCCTGCACTTGGACAGCTGGATTTTGTTTGTTTATTCTGATTTATTATTCATGCAAGAAATGGAAGCAGAACTGTTTTTCTGACTTACTGAACAGTTTGTGGGGTTTTTGTGTTTCTAGTAGAGAATTCCATGTTTACTTCTGTGGGATGAAGAGCAAAAGGAAACATAGGTCACATATAATTTCTTACTCGTCATGATTTTGCACAATGTTATGTTCCAGTCTTGGCCTCATGTTTTCTTCATTAATGTCCTACACTATAGTATGCATGTCCTAATTGGTTAATCATTATTATGAATACTTGAATGGATTTTGAGCTTCATTTTTCCCCGTTTTTCCTGAAACATCCATGGTTATGGTTATAAACATTTAAAAGTTACTTTTTAAATGATTCCTTTTATGTCCCTTGATTTTCCTTCATGTACCTTTTTCTGTTCCCCAGAAGAGCGCAGGGCTGTTGCTTTGGATAAAAGCTCAATGATATCTTGCATTCATTTTGCAGGGCAAAAGGCATCTGCAGAAGCTTTTCAGAGGCCATGCTATTCCATTTCCTTGTGCTTCTCCTTGCCACCTGCACGACCTGTTGCTCATGTATGTTTGCGCAGCAGCAGGACTATAGAGGATTTGGGCTTAAGTGGAGATGAGGAAAATTTACCAGAATCTTCTGGGACCCAGATTTGGCTAAGCACAGCCTTCAGAAGGCTGCTAATTTTCTTCTACATGAGTTAAGGACAGATTCTGGAGAGATTTGTAGCAATTTTGGGACGCGTGCTCTGTTTTCAGATCCCATGTGATAACGTGTGACACATTTGCCTTTACAGTTAATTCATATTAGTTGCTCTGTCATGTGTTCCAGGTCGGGGCAGATGGTTTGATGAAGCTGAGTGGCTCAGCGCTCAACAACGAGTTCTTCACTTCAGCTGCCCAAGGCTGGAAGGAGAGGTTGTCAGAAGGTAAATCTTCCCCTGACAAAGTAGTACAACGATAGAAACTGAAATACTGGCGTGACTAGCTTTACTGGAGTTTACTAGGTGAAGACCGCTGTACTCAGTATGGCCTGTGAGAGAAAACGTGAGTCTAGAACTATGTAGACTGAAGGGCAGAGAATAGGCTGCAGTGAGGAATTATCTTTGAACTTAACTCATGGCAAAATGACCAAATCTCTGGACAAAATGAGAAAAGAAATAAAAATGCTTTAAAATGCTGGTGAAATGACAGTAGGGATATGTTATTCTCAAGTTGTGGTAGCTAAATATAGCCCACTACTAAACTTAATAGAGTAAGGTAAATTATATTCCCAGAGTAATAGTCATCGTCATCAGCCAAGTCATCTAGCCACACAGTTGCTTCTGGCAGTCCTTTGAGCCGAGCCATAATTTTTTTATATAAGTTAAAGACAGCCATTTATTAAGCTGCAGGACTGCTGCAACTGTCTTGAACTTAGAGATGCTTAAGTCTGCGATTTGATTAAATATATAATCATTCATTCATTACGGGGCCCTTTCCTCTCCAGATTCCAACCATTCAGCCTGGCACCAGGGCTTCCGATAAAGACTAGCACCAATCACGACATGACATGAAAGTGGATCTATTTCTGTATGGATCACTCTTTATTTTCTGGATTCTGGTGTGTCTGTGCCAGTAAATTGAATGGCACCAACACACAGGCAAGGCATTAGATGAAAAGAATTCCTCAGTGAGGATTTCTTGGGATCCCCTTATTTGAAGGGAGAAGATTGCTGAGAAACAAAACTAAGCACCGATAAAAGTATCCAATTTCTATGAATCTTTTTAAAGGATCTTTGGTAGCTTCATTACTGGAAAAGATCTAATTCTAATAACTAGTTCCTCCCGTAATAAAGAGCACAAGAGAACTGCTGTGAGAACTAGGTAAACCTTTGGGAATGAATTACATTTGAGGCTGAAGGTCACATTTCCATCATGAAAGATCTACAGTTGTGGCAAAAAAAAAAAAAAAAGCTTTCCCATTTTCTAATGATCAAATCTTAAAATATTAACATATGGTCTTACAATCCGCAATAGATGTATATGTGAAATGTGCACTTCAGATGTCTTGCAGTTTTTTTGTTTCCCACCTACCTATGACTGAGTAGCATCAGTTGCCAAGAATATTTTCTGTCATTTGTGCCTGGCAAGAAGTTTTTGGTGTTTTTGCATGCAAGCCTCACCACAGCCATCCGTGACTGCCATTTCAAGGTGATGTATTGCTATGCTCTTTGCTTAGGCAACATCTTCAGATCCTCCAGAAAATGGCAATTATATTGTGCGTGTGTACATCTAACATACGTTCGTGTACATATTCATATTTATTTAATAAGCACTATTTGACATAAAGAACATATTAGCTCTGGCTCCTATTTATGTTAACCTGATCAGAAATCATGCATTCTGACTTCCACAGTCCTTGATTAGTTAGCCCCCAGCTATCTTGGGATGTGTTGTCTCTTCCAGTATAATATCATGCCATTTATGATCCTCTGAGCCTTCTTATTTAAGAGCTCTGTAGCATAAGGGAAGGTTTGACTGTTAGTTGAGAGTTCCTGGCTCAGCAGTGTTGGACCCTCATGTGGCTAGGGCAAGCCTGGAGTTTGTGACTTTAATCATGTATAACATACCTCAGGAGTTTCCAAGAGAATCATGCTGGGGGGAGAGACTGTTTAGGTGTGGCAAGGTCTTTGGGCAGCCTGTTTTTCTAAAAATTGCAAAAATTTTGGGATAGTGACAGCTGGAGAATTAAACCCTGTGTGAACTGTTTCACAGGTCACAGGATCACAGCTGACACTGGGTTTGAACACAAGATCTACATTGTGGCAAGCCGTTTGGAAGTTGAGGATATGAAATGAAGAAGCATCTTTATTATTGATGCTAAATTTAGAAAGGCAATTTCCCGTACTGGAATTTGTTAAGGTTAATCAGGAGATGGCAAATCCTTTGGTAGCTGATTTGTTTAAGGAAGTTTTGATTTTTTTCATCCCCTGGAACGTTACTGCTTTCTCAGTAGTGCCAGTGCAGTGTTGTGCATGACCACATTCTGAAGAACTCTGCAGCTGGTTTGGTTTATCTTCTCTCTTGGAAGTTTGTGGATGTTACTGGAAGGCCTTCTCCTTTCCTTTCCTTTCCTTTCCTTATTCCTTTCTCCCATTAGAGGACACCACCCCCTCACTTGTGCTCATGCACCCAAGAGTTGCTTTGCTGTAAGCAAAGGGAGGTCTATAAGTGATATCCTTCCGTCCTAAACAAGCAACTGTGGCTGAGGAGGACTTCTTAACTGACCCTTATGTCAAAAGTTATAATGTTGAATATCACAGCAGAGGCTTAACATTTCTTAACAGTTGCAAAGGTGATCCTGGGATGGCTGGAAGAAAGTAAAGCCTTGGTTTTACATACCATGTCTAAGATAGTTATATCAGCTACTCGAATTACAGAACAAGGCCTTTGTATTACCGTGATGCAAAATTCCTTCAAGACTGAAGTGCAGTTTGGAGAAAAGTGATGTAAACACATTTTAGTCAAAGCTCCTTGTAACTAAGTTGGTCAGCTGTTTTGCTCATGTTTTGTCTAAGATCTCCATGCAAAGCTGATAACGTACCAAGAAGTATAAGCTTCACAGAATACTTATAACCATTTGTATGATATGCAATAATCATAGATTGTGAGACTGGAAAAGATTCCCAGAATGCATGTTAAGCTGTCTGGGAAGAATCCATTCTTCCCTGGATGGAAGTTAACGCACAAGACTTGAAATTTGGGAATTGCTTTGATGAGTGGAATTTCCAACTTTCTAGATAATCTTTCTTGGGGAAGCATTCAGGAGTCAAAAGTACTGCTGTAAACTCTTAGCTCTCATTCTTCTGACCAATTCACATCTTGAGGATCTTTGGAAAGAAAATTCTGCGTTCCCAGTTCCCAGTTGTTAAGTTTAGGCTGGGATTATGTTTGTTTTGCTTTATCATAACCTTCTGTATCCACTTGTTCAAATGTGAGCATTATTTCATGCTTGGCTGAAGTAAACCTTTGTTTCAATACCACCCTCAGGGTTACCTTGCGTTAGCAGCAAGCCCAAATGAAGTTATACTTGAGGAATGTTGAGTTTTTAGAGGCAAATTCAAATAAAGTGATATATGCTGGCATTCACTGGGAGTTTATGTCCTGATCATTTTATGAGGATTCAAGGGCTGGAAAAAGGTACCTGCCAACCTCCGGGGCCAGAGTGAGAGCTGATACTGACAGGGAAAGCAGTTCTGACTGTCAGGCATAAGCGGTTGCATATCTACTGCAAGGAGTAGGCAGCAGAGAAACACCTTGCAGCTCAGGACAAATGCTGAAGTATCATGGCTAGGGCTGTAACAGCCTGTGAAAGGGATTCTGTGTGATATCATCCTTTAATCGGCAAGTGAGAAGGCTCCTGCGGTTGTCCTAATTCATCTTACCCATAGCTTTTCTTGCAGATATCCTTTATTGCATTTTACAGGTGAGTTTACACCAGAAATGCAGCTAAGAATACGTCAAGAGATAGAAAAGGAAAAGAAGGTGGAGCTGTGGAAGGAACATTTTTTCGAGAGTTACTATGGTCAGAGGTAAGACATTCAGCTGTGTCCCCGCCTCCCCTTATTGCCTGTCCAGGAGTATCAGTTCCTAAATGTTGGCTTGTTCTCCTCTAATAAACATTACTTTTCATCAGTGCTCTAACAAGGTCCAGTTTCATCTAGCTGTCACAGAACTGAGAGAGTATCTTCTGAGTGATCTAGGTCACAACCGATGTGTTTGCTAACATAGGATTTCTAACGCTTTAACTTTGATTTGAGGATGTGATTTGGGCTTTACACCTTTAACCTTTCCCACTCCTCACTGACATTTTGAGAAGCTCCTCTCTTATGGTTATTTAGTGTAATTCCAGGCATCTGGATGATCTGGATCTGGATATAAGGTATTTGAGTGTACTTTAATTTTCAGTAAGTCACCTGCTATATAGAATCTGGTGTATTTCCCACTGTCTTGAACGGGACACCTACGTGGTTCGACTCCTAAGTCTGTATTTCACTGTATTTCTTTCTGCTTCAGGATTTTCCTATCCTTTTGGAGTGTGGAGAAGATCTTAGGTTTCTGAGTGAATAATTTTACACTAAGAAACTTAAAAAAGAACAGATGCATATAAACAGCTAATCAAGAATTTCTCCCTCCTGCATCTTTACAGTTAGCTTTTATACTTGTCATTGGACTATCAGCCAGGCTTCCTCCCATTCATCTATGATGTTTTAACCCTCTACAGTGTTTGGCTTATTCTAAACCCTATTTTTAGCACTCCATGGTCTGATAGTTTGGGGCTTCGTGGCTGAGTAGGAGGCTGGTATGTATGCACTTAACCATGACACATTACAATACTGAGTAAAGGAATACACATACTTATCACTTACATACACATACACACATACACTGGTTAGTATCACACATACTAACCAGTTTGAGAATGCAAGTGATCTTGCAAGTGGTATTAGCACAGAGCTTTACTCGTTTAACTTACTCAATTCCCCCAGTGTTGAAAACCAGAATATAAGTAATTATGGCCACCTGTGGTGGCAGATGAAAACGTGACAGCCTTATTCGTCAAGCTTTAGGTGCCTCCAAGGGACAGCAGGACAGCATGGACATGTCTTGCAGAATGGCAATACTAGAGAGAACTGAAGGGCTAAGCTCTGATGTTCTCAGAGATGAAAGCTATTTTACCACATGAAACACCTCTGTCAAGACCAGCTTTTGAAAGAAATAATGGTTCTGAAACTATTGCATGAGAAAGTGTTGAAAATCAAGTTCATAAGAGCTTGTTGGGTAGATATCAATCACATAGCAGTCTTTATCAGACTGGCTTCACCAGACTTTATGGGTTCATATTTGGGCAAAAAAACAGATCGGATATTTAATTAAGAGGGATGAATGAATTTAATCCCGTATCAGATGACTCTGGGAGTTAGATTCCCAGTTTGTTCATTTTTTCCACAAATGAAGAGGGTTGAACAATACAGTGAAATACTCCCAGGTTTTTGATGATGCAGGAAGGCATACGTTACATGTATTTCATGTAGTTGGTTTTAAACTTAGCTATTAAGTTCTCTTTCACTTGGAAGTACTAGCAGGACTAGAGGTTTTCAAAGACTGTGGTATAAAGTTAGGGGTGTGTGTCATATTTCTTTAGGGCATGATATGTAGAGAATTATAAGGATAGTACGCTTTTTTCAAAAATGTTTTATGAAATAATTCCCTTTTTCTTTTTAGTTCTGGACTAAGCCCTGAAGAGTCCAAGCGACTGACAACAAACACCAGCCCTGCTGAGACAGAGACTGGAAATTCAGCAGCTGAACAGCCAAAATGCATGCCAGCCATTCTGGCACCATTCAAAGAGAAGATTACTTCTCCATTAGAGTCTAAAGCACAAGCAGTCCAGGAAGCACCAGCAATGAAAAAAGGAGGAGAGGAAAGAAGAGAGGACACGCAGCCAAAAATAGCCAAATCTGCAGAGGCCTCAGTTTCCTCAGATGGTGGTGCAGTGAAGCCTAACGACCATTCCTCCACACCTTTGAAAGGTAGTGGAGAATCCATTCAAGAGAAACCACAAACTGCCATTAGTCAAAAGCCAGAAGAAGAGAAAAAGCATGCTGCATCAAAGGAAATATTAGTAAAAGAGACTATGAGTACCTCAGCTTTGGCCCCAAGTAAACCAAAGAGCCCTGAAGCAGGTGAAGTAGTAGCAAGTGTGACTAGTCAAGTGACTACTCCAGAAATACCGGAGAAGAAGTCCCCTATAAATGAAGAAATGGAAGTCAGTGTTGAAGGCCATAAGAGGAAGTCAGAGAATCGGGAAGAAGCTCTAATCACTCCTGAAAAAAAGCCACGCGTCATGGAGAACTGTCAGTACCAGCAGTCATTTCGGACCCAGCCGCAGTCCTTTCCTGCAGCTGGGACCCAGGTGCCACGTGTTCCCCCACTCAAGGTAAAGAGAACTGAAAACAAATCCACAGATTGGCTTTATACTGGTCAGTTCAGCTGGGAGCTCTCACAAAAATGCTATCTGTGTATGTCAATTTTGTTACCTGCTTATTATAATGATGAAAGTACATGATCAAAAAATGTGAAAGCTTAGCTGTTTGCTAAGGAGAATCTGCTGGCTGGCTAATGAAGTTCAGTGAAGTCTCTCTCGTACTCATGCATCTGTTAAAAGACATGTTAGCCAGAAGCTTTGACAATTGTGCGAAAGCCCAAGAATGTGTATAATAGGCAGTACTGTAGATCAGAACGAATGGGCACTGAAGAGAGCTGAGGAGGAATTGCAAGACTATAATAACAAAGGAAGTTGCAGCCCAAGAGTGCACAGAACTTTGTAGATGTGTGAATATGACCAGCACTACAATAATAGGCCGAGAAAGAATGGTATCAGCAGCTTCCCGTATTGTATCAAGCCAAGAAACTAAATTAAACCTATGATTAAAACAAGACCATCTAGAAATAATATAGTTACCATTTCTGCCAGCTGCATGCAGTGTGCTGTCAGACTAAGTAGCAGGGAAAGACTGTTTTAGGGAACATCTCAATTCCAAAAGTCCTTTAGCTGCTGGGATTCAGCAAGAATCTACATATAAAAGGAAACAGACAATAAATCACCACTAGAATAGGGAAAATGGAAGCATGAAAGAAAAGTTTCCAGCTTGGAGAATGCTGTTCTCTTGCAATTGAGATCCGGCTCATGGGATTACCCACCGGCTTCTAAACCTCCGGGAAATACCCAGTTAGCAAATAAAAAACAACCTCTTTTCAAATGTTGGATACTCTTTTACTCAAAGTGGCTACAAGATTGCATATGTACAGATAATTCTGATTCTTTCTTCAGTGATGTTATACTGAACAGGAGCTATTAAATGGATGAATCAGCACAACATTATTTTTTACAGTCACATCTGCATGAATATGCACGTTTGATTTCTGTGGAATAGAGTCTATGCTTTTTCTACCTAAAATTTCCTCTATTTAAAATTTAACTCCCTGGTTTTGGGCCTTGAGCATAAGTTGTAAATAGAAAACTGCTTAGTTACTCTATTACTGTATCTTCTCGGACTTCTGATCTCATATTAAGATTCTTTTCTACTAGGCAGTGTACAAACAAAATTTAAAAAGTGGTTCATTATTTAAATTATGTTCACTGCTAAGTATGGCACAAAAGTAAGAAAGCACAAACAAAATTTGTTAATGACACAAAATTGGGGGAAAATTGTCCATAAAAGATAACTGGAATATCACACAGGAAGAATGGTTGACCTTCCAGTGTGATGTAATAAACATGGGAGTTAATTTAATAATACAGAGTGCATTTAAAGGTGATCAGAAATAATTTCCTCTAAAAGGTAAAAGATATGTCATTCCTCAAAAAAGGAAGATGTGGCGAACTGGTTAATCAGAAGACAACTGAGAGTCAGCCAGGTATCGCAGATAAATGAAAACAAACGCAACCCTAAAATATACTCACTTAAATCTCTACAGTGGAGACAGAAAAGCATTATTACTGGGTATACTGTTCTAATCACATTCAGTAAAGAAGGAACCTACATAAAGTGAACTGGAATGATGAGGGGAGTGGCGAGCTTATTTTAGAGGAAGGAACTGAAAGACTGGCTGCGTATCCTAAAGACATAAGGCAGAGACAGAATATTATTCCTTTGTATAAAGACATTGAAAAGTGTGGATATGCAGGGATAGAAGAGCAATTGAAAATAAAACAGAATGCTGACACAAACCTTTAAATGTATGTAAGTTGCATATAAACACATTCAGCTTTGAAACTTAGAATAAGGGATGATGGGTGTCGAGTTCTGAGCACTACGCACCTTAGAGTGCATAGGAGTTTTCTGACGGAGCTTGTAAACTTATGAATAATGGCATATGATGTACTCAGCTGGGACTGCAAGGGATGAGCTTCCAGTCTGAGTTACTGAGACTGAAATAGATTTAACATAGGTGTACCAGGCATCGAAAGATCATACGTGTCCTTTTTTGTATTTAACTTCGGTAAGAACTAAGGGATTTCCCTAAGACGACAATTCTAAATGCTTTGGTTTAAGTGCATGCGTTGAATGTTCCCTATGTCTCAATTGTACTTTCCTCCTGCTTTGTTTTAGATTCCTGTTTCCAGAATCTCCCCAATGCCATTTCCTGCGGGCCAGGTCTCTCCCAGGGCACGTTTTCCAACCTCAATTACCAGTCCTGGAAGAACGGGGGCCAGAACTTTGGCAGACATCAAGGCGAAAGCCCAGGCGGGGGGAGCTGGCCCAGGGCCGGGACCAGGAGGTGGTGGGGGCCCACCCGGCGGTGGAGGAGAGAAGAGTAACACAGCAGCAAGTGGAATCAGTGAAACTGGAATTCGAGGAAATGCACTGGAACTGGCAGGAACTGGAAGCGGGGGAAGTTCGAGAAGGTTTCTTCCCCATTGTACAGGTACCCATACCCAAATGGAGACCCAGGCCACGGACCAGACACCACCTCACAGTCTTTCTAGAGCACAACTACAGCAAACTTCCACATTACAATCCAGAACTCCAGCCAGCAATACAGGCACCAACTCCTCATCATCAGCGGTATCAGCATTAGACAAAATTAACAGAATAAAACAGAGCCCCCCAAATAAGACTGTAAATCAGGTTTCAGGCTCCCCATATGCTGTTAGCAATGACAGACAAGAGAAAGCACCTTCTGCTCCAGCAGGTCCAAACCAGGCCTGTGGGGCATCTGCTGTCAGGGATGGAACAATCTGTGTCACTGTGTCCACAGCAGATACCAACACAAATGTAACTAAGGTAGCACCTACAGCCTTAGGAGGGACCAGTTTAGATGTTTCTAAAAGCAAATCTCCTTCCCCTCTGACATCTTCACTAGCATCCATAAGCTCAGAAGCCCAGGCTGGTGGTGTGGTAACATCTGTTGTATGTATTCCATCCTCTAATACTTTGCCAGTAATATCTAGCCTTAAAACTCATGTAACTTCAAGTGCAAGTGGGGCCCTTCCCAAAACAAGCTCCAGTATTCCTGCTAACAACCCTTTGGTTACCCAGCTTCTTCAAGGGAAGGATGTCCCCCTGGAACAAATCCTGCCTAAGCCTCTCACCAAAGTAGAAATGAAAACTGTCCCATTAGCTTCCAATGAAGAAAAAAGAGCGGCATTGTCCAGCACTACAAGCATAGCAGGGAATGGTACTGGAGCTGAAGGTGGTGACAGACAGTCAAATTTACCCACGCAACCGCTTGGAAAGATCTTTTGCCAGAACAGGCCCCTGCCTAATGTTCCAAGGACATTTCAGCTCCTCTCAGGAAAGGATCCCAGTGTTGACCAGCACCAGTGCCAAGAGGCACTTAGTAAAACAACCCAAGAGCAGATCCTTCAGACTCTTATCAAGAGGGTCCAGAGGCAGAATTTGTTCCCAGTCCTTCAGCCTTCACAACTGAACCTTACTCACTCAGGTTTCCAGTTAGAAAACAGTTCCACCAGCCAGAGATTTATGCTGGGTTTCATGGGTAGAAGGACATCCAAGCCTGCTATGTCTGGTCATTATCTGCTCAACATTTCCACGTACGGTCGTGGTTCAGAGAGTTTGAGGCGAGGCTTCTCCCTGAACCCTGAAAACCGCTTGTGTCTGAACAGTCCTGCTGATGCTCCAAAAACAGAATTTGGGGACTGTGAGGAGACCCCTGGCAATGGCAGTAGCAGTGATGAAGGAGATGCAGACGATGAGAGCACTGGTGACGAACATGAACATACCAGTGTAAAAGAGGAACCCCTGACTACCCAGGTTTCTGATCAGTGTGAAAAAGAACAGGTGTCACATGGCATAAATTCTTCAGATTATAGCATCCTTGCTAAAAAGAGCGTCAAAGCAGAAGCAGTCATGTCTCAGCAAGCAGCAGTCAACAAGGAGACTGTTCAGACATTTGATGGAACTACCTTAGCAAGAGATTTTATTCAAGCAGCTCAAGAGCAAATGGCACACGCAATGAGGGGGAAAATGCATAGCAGTCCTGAGCTTTTCGGTTCTTCTGTACCGTCATCAGACTCTGCTCAGCACCAGTCTCCACAGCATTCTCATTTGCATCCTCCAAAGCTGTGTGGCAATGCTGCCGCACAGCTCATTGGTCCCAGTTATAGTGGCACAATAAATGTCTCCACATCTCCAGATGTGAACCAAGGGTCTCTTATGACTGGGCTGTCCGAATGCAATCAGTTGTCTAGTAGCATGGGGAATGTCATGTCCTTTTCTGTGACTGTAACCACCATTCCCACCAGCCAAGCTATGAACTCTGGTAGCCACAGTCAGACCATCCCGGTTCAAGCCTTTGCTGAAGACAACAGCATGGAGGATTCCCCTTCCAAATGTTACTGCAGGTTGAAAGCCATGATCATGTGCAAGGGTTGTGGTGCCTTCTGCCATGACGACTGCATTGGCCCCTCTAAGCTCTGTGTCTCCTGCCTTGTTGTGCGGTAACTGAGACATGAAATGGGGAAGAAGATGGCTTTTCTCTTTGCTTTTGAAAGTACAGTGGGAAGAAACAGGAAATTTACTGCCTTGCACAAGAGACACGTTACTGAATCAGGAATACAGAGTAGAGTTCTTCTTTCATTAAAGAAAGAGCACCTTGTACAGTGAGTCTAAATTGAGCTCAACTACGTGAATTGTGACAAGAGTTTGCACTTAAGGAATTATGTAAATATGTCACATTATTTTGTTTAAGAATATTTTTTCAGTCTTTTAGGAGATAGTGTTTGACTTGTACTGCAGTTTCATTAACCCCAGCCTGCTATCCAGCATGTTTGCTGAGCTCTGCTCTAGATGGGGGAATGAACCCCCAGCAAAACTGTGGCCTGTTGGTTTTCTCTTGGCAAAGAGAAGAACTGGATAATCAAGAAACTAAACATTTGTACTGACTGATCACAGAGCACTGAAACAGGAGCCCCAGAATGGGCTTACTTCTGTTGCTCTCATTTTTAATTCAAATTTTTCAGAAGTGGAAGGCTTTAATGTTATACCAGCCTTTCAAATAACTGCCCATCAGTTGTGGCCTGACTCTTTCTGGAAGGCATACTGGGTTGTGCAATATTGGCTGGTGTTTCTGATTTGCATATCCTCTCCTCTTCAAGCAGTCAGTTGCAGTAACATTGTTTTAAGGAAGGTAGTATCTTGACTTGCTACTGGTAAATACTGAAAAAGGCAACTGTACTAACCATAGGATTCAAGAATTTAAATGACTAAAACAACTCAGTAAGTGTGATTATCAGTAATTCCAGGAACCATTTAAAGCAGAGATCACTAATATGTGCTGAACTGCATTTCATTTCAGGACCTTCAGAATTCAGTAGAAACCTGCTTTATTATGCATTTCAAGTGAGCTGGAAAGTGCCATTCCCACGGTTACCAACCATCAATTGTTACAGTACATTATAGAATTGAAGTGCACTAAACGTCACCCTCTGTCATACTGTTTTCCAGGAAGCTTGCTGTGGCTCATTAAATCTCCACAATAGTCAGACTTCTCTGATTCTATAGAAGATTTTTTTTTATTTAGCTAAGTATAGGGCAAGGAAAACAAATACCGTGTTAGGCCTCATCGTTAGCCCTCAGTGGATGTCTCTTTGTGTTTTAAAACACAAAAATTTGTGTTTTAAAATACCAAATGTGTTTTAAAATACCAAATCCTTTGGCTTGACTCCAGAATTGCATGAGTTGGAACGGTAAGTCAGGACTGGGGAAGACTGGCAGAGGTATGTTGCGTTTGGGGACTGGAGTAATGGGGTATATTATCCTGGGAAATATGCTCTAGAGGACCCTGCTTGAGCAGGGAGGTTGGACTAGATGATCTCCAGAGGTCCCTTCCAACCTCAACCATTCTGTGATTCTGTGAAATGGCCAGTCCCTTACATAAACATGAGACATAGCTAGTGATATTCATTCTTCACGTTCAGGAGTGTCAATGTTCACAAATTCATTCACTTTGATCAATCAAAATTAAAACCGTTACAAAATGGTACTTTATCATCATTAACAAGAATTTATGATAGGCTGGCTAAAAAAACATAGACCAAACTGCATTTTGATGTATTGCAACATGTCCACACCATATCAAGGATTTATATGTTATTTCTCTTCCAAAACAAAGAACATCAGGTTCAATAATCACATCCAGTTCCATACTGTCACTGTTGGGGTTGGAGGGGGACAATACTGGATCATGGTCAGGTAAAAATCTTATATATCTTTTTGATGGAAAAGCACTGAATTCACTTTTAATCCAAAGGCCTTTTTAAGATGAAGCAATATTAACGAAGTCAATATGACAAACTGTATTATTAGCTGGGGTCCTAAGTTTTTTTTCTTCTTTCCATTTGACTATACTACTGCTTTCCCCCTTTTCCCTCCCTCTCATATGAGAAGAGAACCTGGCATGCTATTGTTAAAGATCAGAAATACTGCCTGTGAAACACAGTGTGTTTTTCCAAGGAGTGGGTGGTGATTTATTTGTTAATGATAAAAAGAGTTTGCAGACTTAATCACTTCTTAATAAAAAATGTTCCTTCCCTGTCGGCAGTGCATGGTATCCTCCAATCCAGGATTATTATGTGTGAATTAATAAGACCTGCAGTATATTGTTGTCTTAGTTTTGCTCATCTTAAATTTATTGGGGAGCAAGTGACTCCTGCTTTCGAATTATGCATAGCTGCTTAGCTATCCAGTGGTGAAAAGAATGTAGTTATTATAAACTGTCAATTTTTTAAAAATCAACCACTTAAATCTTAAAAAAAAAAAAAACAGAAAAATTACTCCCAATATTTCTGTCATACTAAATATGCGTTGTTAGTGGTTGTTGCCCAGAAAACACACCACATCTGGGTGTGTTCCAGCTGCCATCATCATGCATGTATGTGCAGGGACAAAAGCCAGCAAAGACAGGTTAGCTTCTACTGTTGCAATCATGAACCCTCTGTAAAAAGGATAATCTTGTTTTCTGGGTTGACTTGTCCATAAGAATAATACTGATTTGGACAGTAACCTCTTACTGCCTGCTTCCCTCTTCTGTAAGACATGAATTTCTGCAATTTTTTTTTTTTTTTTAATTCCAGGAGACACTGATGTGGTTTCAGGTTGTGTACCTTAGGAAGTGAAGAACTGATGGCAGGATGTTTCCTTTTTCAGTTCCCTTATTAGCTCAAGCCTTGTCTACGTAGAAGAGTTACAGCATTGTAATCCTAATTCAGACATATTCATTCCCGTATAAGACAATTAATCTACTTTAAAGATTGTTTCTCATTACAAACTAAACCAACAAAGTCACTCTTGCATCAAATTCAAATAAGAGCAAAGAGATTTTACTGACATAATTAGACCAAATCTGTTCACACCTTGACTTTTATCCATGTAATTTTTCTATGCTGACAAAGCTGCCTAAGAAAAGGAAAGAGAAGATGATGAAGTAGCACACTGTGATCTGTGATCCTAGTGTTTGAGCTCTTAAATTTGTTGTCAAATTTAAATTTATAAATGAAAAAAACTGTAAGTTTGTTTAAATTGCTGTCACTTTAAAAGACTGTTTCATTACTCTTCTCAGCATTTTCTAAAATAGTCAGAGGCCCTAGCTACGATTCCTACTTGTTATTTCCTTTAAATTTTACAAGTGTCCCCTGAAGTATATGGGTTTAGTTTTCTCTGCCACATATCCTCTCTGTGAGTCTACTTTGGAAATACAAGAAGCTGCTGTTTCATGCGTAGTACTGCAGGAACTTACATCTGCTTTGTAGTTACCAGCCCAGCAAGAAGAGAACTAGATCTAAGATCTATCAAGTTTGGATATATAGCGACCACTAAAATTTCAGTAGGATCCCAGACTTGTTATTGGACAGCATGGCCATCTTATATAATGACTTGGAAGTTTACAACTCTGTTCAGTGCCTTAGTTATATTTTAATGGATCAGCACTTTTATTCTATTCCTTTTTAAGACAAAAAAAATCTTTTAACTGCACGTCTCTGATTTTATCGTATGCAATGAGCGCCTAGGTGGAACTTGATGGAACAATATCCATAGGTTTGCAAGAGGGCATTAAATAGTTAGGAAACCATAAGAAATAACAGGGATCTGTGTAATAATCACTTAATATAAGTACAAGTCTACATAGAACCTTGATACTTTTGCATGTTTTTCTAGTAGTGTTTATTGAATAACAGATTTTATAAGGGGAAAATGCTGCTGCCTGTGTAGGAGTATTCTCTAAGTAGTATTAGCCTGCCTGCCTTACTGTTGAGGCTCCTCTCTTCAGTTTCCACTCCTCCCATCATCTGACCTTCCTACTGTTCCTTCCAGCAAGGTAATAAACCTGCTTTCACACTGGATTTATAATTAAAAGGGATGTTGTGACATAGTTTAAAACATTAGACTTTGATGCCCCAGGTATATAACAGCACTTTATGGTAAATGCTCTCATAACAAATAAAATGCTGAGATAAAACATTTTACAAAGCCTACTGTCAAACCATGTTTGTGGCAGTAACAGCCACTTGAGTAAGAAAAGATACCCAGATTTAAATATTCCCTTTTGGGTCACAATCCAAACCCTGCAGCATGAGAGAACTGGAAATATAAACTGATTATGCAAAAAAAAAGGATTATGCAAAAAAAGGGGGGAAAAAATCGCATGCAAGTTGCTGCAGTGGAGCAATGAATGCAGTTCTGGAAAGGAGTTTAAGGTTTTGAGATACAGATTAGTAACACAGGGAAGGAAATTTGTTTGAAACTTTTATGCCCCTTCTTAAATCAAAAGGAAAGGCCAATACTCTTTACAGTTACCCTTGTCAAGAGTTGTAGCTTTTCTATGGCAGTAAGCAATAGCTGATGGGGAAGCAAGTTCCTAGTCAAATCAGTAATTGCCAGGAGGTATCCTCACGGGTCTTTACTTCTTACAGGTGTCATTTACACTGCCACAGAGGCAGTAAAGAATATCATGGGGCCAGCTCTTGCCATCACATGAACACAGCTGTAGATACTGTAGTTGAAACGAGAGTCTGGCTTCATTCCTCCAGGGAGGCTGCAGTCTGACAAGTGATTTAAACCAGATGAATGTGGGCTCCCAGCACAAGGATTAGTGCCAGCCCTGGCCATGATTTTGCTGGTAAGTTTTCAGTGCTGTGCAGCCACACAAGTGCTAAAGTGGCGTGGCAGTCAGTGGAAGCACGTGGCCAACAGTAGGGCTGGAAGCAGAACCTACCACCTTTCTGGTGGTAGGCCGCACTTGTAGCATCTTAAAGCAATGCAACTTGGAAGCAGGAAATGTAGATATGTTTCAGGGAAGTCGCTCAAAGGGCTGCAGTCTTTCTTTGTTAGAACTGTCTCTCCAGGGATGCTTAAAGTCCTGGGAAATCTTTTTGAGTTTTACTTGGGATTCTTTTGCTTAGGCTCAGTTCTTTAAAAGCCACCTCTGGCCTTCAGAACCTGGCTTTGCTAAGGGACTGTATTTGTTGCAAGAGTTAAGAGAGAATTGTGCTCAGCTCTCAACAGTCGTACGCTAAGTGGATTGGCACTAGTTTGAACTTCCAAAATTGAAGCCCACTTCTGAAAATGCAGTGGTTACAGTGGAGGCAGAAGGACAAAAGATGGCATGTACAACCGTGAATTAACTTCACTGTGATTAGCATGGCTTTTAATTGTTACAGGAGGGAAGACAACCATTCCTAGGATATTAGTGCTTCTGGCACCATGCACCTTTGCAAAGCATCCTCAGCTAATCTGATATATGCAGAATTAACATGGTGGGAGAGGTGTCTTACAGACTTTGAGTCTGTTTGCAACTGGTGTCTTACAGGGAGAACAGCTCAAGACTTTGCTACAATAATGATATCCAGAATTTTCTTTGTTGCCTATTTTTTTTAATGCTATACACTTGATATAGTGGAAGATCAATTTTAAGAGCTTACAGTAATATATTTTAAGTAATATATATTTTAGTATCTATAAAAAAATTGACAAAGGATGATTTATGGACTAGATAACAGGGTATTGGGAGTATGCAGTTTCTCATCAAAGCCAAGAATAGTTTTACTGGCAGGAGAACTGAAAAGATTCTGTTTTTTCCATTAATGCAATAAAAATGAGAATTCTTAAAAAAAAAAAAAAATCCAATATTGTTTACTAAGTGCTTTTCTTGTTTTGACAACAGGCCTGTAAACACAATTTAGAAGATACTAAAACTTTGTCTGTCTATTGCCTTTTTAAAAGGGACTTAAATTGGAATAGAGGGTATGTACAGAAAAATCAAGTTGACACCATTTTAAAAGTTGTATTTTTACACAAATAATATAGAAGATCATATTTTACATAAGAATTTTAAGTATTTGAAATATGTATATATATACTGTATGTACATCATATATTCTTTATTTTACATTTTCAGTGTATTAAAAAGTATTTGAGCTGGTTGGATTTGAGTATGTAATAATGTTAAAAGAAAAAAAGAAGAGGGAAAAAAAGAGAGCGAGAGGGGATACGAGTACTGCACCACTGCAGTAGCTGCTGATCAGCAGATTAGAGTAGTAGAGAAACCAGAAGTTCAGTCGTGAATGATTTTTAGAATAGTTTAACAGTTTGAGGTAGAGCATACAGAACATTTTTCAATCCTGTGTCCTGTTGTTTTTTTGTTTCCTTCCTTTAAGTCTTTTTTTTTTTTTTTTTTTTTTGCCTCATAACCACCCAGAATAGTTAATCTATGGTGAGAAGACAAGAAGTTGAGGTGGATCTTTTATAGAAGCAATGCTACCTTTATAGCCAAAGAGTCATACATACTGGTACTGAAGCTACTCAACCAAAACACAATCAGAAACTACTCAGTTTTTTTGTGTCACTGGAATTTTAATAAATATTGCTGATAGCTTGATTTCTTGTGTGAGCATCCTATGGTGCTTATGAGGAACGCAAACAGTATACCAAAAGTCCAGTGATTTCAAGGAAACACTGTCAAGCAGATGTTTTGCTTTGTAGGAATTTAGGTCAAAATCTCACAGGAGAGGACGATACATCTTTGCAGCTATTAGAAATGGACTGACTTCTCATCAGCTGTACTTGAATGGGCTCCCTAGAGATTCTCCTAAGAGGAAGCTCCAGTCAACCTGTTAAGGCTGCTGGTCTTATTCCCAACAGCAGTCCTATTTCCAGGAGGCAGGAGCACAAATTTATGGAGGCAGAACATCTTTGCCAAGCATTGTTGCTTTAATTCCTACCAGTTGCAATGGAATATTAGTTTTGGCCATAATTTTATGTTTTCAGAAATGTCAGCTAGATGAGAAATTATAAAGGCTGCAAACTTCAGGAACGATTATCCAGTACATACTGCAAAGAGCAGCTGCAGAGCACACTAGTCAACAAAAGGGTCCAAATCATGAGGTTGTTGTACTTTTACCTCTCCCTGAAATTGGTAAGAGCTAAGGTTGCTAAATACCTTTTAGGATTAAGTTGAAATACACAACACGTGTTGAAAACGACTGCATCCGTGCCCTTGCCTCCTGAAATTACTTCATGGAATTACCTGTTTATTGCCGTATGTAGCAGGTTAATACTGCTTGTTCTATAAATAGCTATTTCTGAAAGACTGTATTAGATTTGCAGCCCCTTTAATTGCTGGCCCCGGTCCTACCTATATAGCAAGAATACAAATCTCTGCACTACGAGAGGTCTGAGTAGTAGTATCCAGGTGGGAAAGAGGCCCTTTGTCAGCTCCTCATCTGGAGCCATAATTAGTGATCAATGAGAGAAGCCTGGAAATGGCT